CAATAGCGCGCTCAACTTAGTCTGCACGCAAGGTGCACCAAGTGTGGTAATGTGTGGTAAGCGCGGCACACATTGGGCACCGCTAGGACACCACGGTGACTATGTTCCGCCTCGGACAAAGCTTCGTTTAGTGTAACGTCTGCTGGCATGTGAACTATAGCGCGATACATACATTTGCGATCTGCTCACACATAACAGTAGCAATTGTAGGCACTGCGGGTTCACGAAGGAAACCCGGGTGCAGGAATATGGATTGGTCGACAATCGATTGAGCACAGTACTATGAAATGTTGTCCCCCCTTCTTATTGAGGAGAGATGGCCCGCCATTTCTATATGTCAGTGTGTCCTTTCGGTTGCGTATGTGCAGACGCATATCAGAAGCGAAACTTCGGGAGGGAAAGGCTGTGGAGTGGACAGGGGTTGGTAATCTTACGCTGCACTGGCTACGCATACGCAAACAAGCCAACAAAAAGGGTGAATTACTTGCTTGTTTCATTCTTTAATGGATGAGTTGGTTCCACATATACCAACCCCATCACCGCAGTTATTTGCTTGAGCCCTTGTATGAAAGTGTATCTGGTTAGTGCACATTCAGGACTTTCTTCTTAAGAATGGTGTCACTGTGCCTGTACTGTATTATCTGGCATTGTCACGGTAACTCCCACTTGTATCTTGTTCAAAAAAAAAAGAGACAAGAACAGTGGCATCGTCCCTATACATGGTGTGTTAATTTCGTATTTGAAATAACCTTTGCCACCAGTCTTTAACACGGCACTGGTCAATACACACAGTAGACCAGAAAAGTTTACGGACCACGCTAGTGCGTGGCGAAACGTCTCTAAGCAGCACTTCCGCTACGTCATCATCATCATCATCATCATCATCAGCCTGACTACGTCCACTGCAGGACAAAGGCCTCTCCGTCATCTCCGTAGGGGATGACCTCTACGTCAGCGCTGATCAACAGCACAGCAGCGCCCGACCAACATATATATCCCTTAACCTGTGGCCCTTCTGTTTCTGGACGGGCTACGAATAATTTTCGCCCTTTCACTTTTTAACGATACACGCTTTTTGGCATCTGCGTATACGTGATTTAGCCTCGTGGACATTTTATGAGCCCAAGTATTCAAGTCGCAACCTTAATCACAAACTGATGTCAACTTAACGGAACGCCGTTTGAGGCACGCCATGATAGCTCTGGTCCAGCTATGAAAATAGAAATGGAACGGTCATCCGGCAAACGAGCGCTTCGCGAGAAAGCTGCGAACTAACGATGCGTTGCGCGGCAGTAGAAAATTGAAAGGCCAGTGAATAACACGAACGCGCGTTTCCGGAATAGCATTGCAGTCGACAGCACATGGCGTTCCGCTAGGTGGTGCGGATTGGCCGTTTGGCACGCGCTCCCACAGTCCGCCAACTTTTGGAGCTGTCTGTACAACGAGTGAACAAACAAAAAAAGAATTCGGTTTTCGCCTTCTATTCATCTTAAGACAATGAATAAAAGACAATATGCGGTCATTATCTTATCATAAATTACTATCTTAACGATAGTGACGTGAAGGGGCAGATGGAAGCTTGCAATGAAAAATAAGGTAAACAGGGCTTATTGCAAGTTAGCAATAGTTGCAAGTTAGCGCTGTTGTGTGTGTGCGTCTCTCTTTTTGTGTCTTTGTCGTGGTGCGCTATACCCTTATGAATGATGAACCCCAACCAACTAGCCTGGCAACGTGTCTTAGCAAATTTCATTGCTTTAATCGTCGTTTCCACAAGCGATCTTGTCCTCCTTAAGGATTGAACTGATTTCCTTAGCGCAGCCCCGCCGCGGCTGTCTCCTGGTTAAGGCACTCAGCTGCTAGCCTGAAGGTCGCGGGATCGAATCCCTGCTTCGGCGGCTGCACTTTTGGTGGAGGCGAAAATGTTTGACGCCCAAGTAGTTTGATTTAGGTGCACGTCAAAAACTCCGGGTGGCGGATGTTTCCGGAGCCTTCCACTCTACGTCTCTCATAATTATATCGTGGTTTTTGGGAAGTAATACCCCAGATTACATTATTATTATTATTATTATTATTATATTATTATTATTATTATTATTATTATTAATATTATTATTAATATTATTATTATTATTATTATTATTATTATTATTATTATTATTATTATTATTATTATTATTATTATTATTATTATTATTATTATTATTAAGTTTGATTGTATTCCGCGCAGTTCTCTATTACCTGACCGATAGTATGAATTGAATATGGTCTTTGGTGGAGTAGCCTGCACGAAATCCTGCTTGGTCCTTTGGCTGATTGAACATTAACGTTGTCTTAGTTGTGTTAACTATTATTTTTGTAAATTGTTTCTAGAGAACGGACAGGGAGCTGATCGGCCTGTAACTTTTAAAGTCCTTGACGTATCCTTTCTTATGGATTAAGATCATGCTGGCGTTCATCTTATTCTTCCCATCAATAGACACTTTGCATATAAGGTGGCCAGTTTTAATAACACGATTTCTTTGTCATCTTTAAAAAGGTCCGTTGTTACCTTACTCTCACCAGCGGCTTTGCCTCTGTATTCCTTTTAGGGCTTTTCTTACTTTCCCTGTCGTTATTGGTGGGATGTCGAATTCCTCTCACAATTGTTTTTCACGAAGTCACCCTGTTTTGTTTTTTTTTTTCCTTCTGTACAGCTCTTTGTAAAACTGCTGCGCCACCTCGGCAATCTCATTCATATATGTTGACATTGCCCCCTTTGTCCCTTAATGCATACATTGTTTTTTTTTTTCCAATACACAAGTCTGGCTTTGCAGCTTTTAGTCTTCTGTCACTTTTTACAGCCTGCTCTATTCTCTCCATGTCAACCCTTCCGATGTCGGCTACCTTGCGTCTATTAACATCAAAATCTCCACTAGATCAATTTGGTCAGTTGCATTGGAGACTTTCATGGTTTGTCGTCCCTAAGGATTTTTCGTCTTCTAAGATAGTTTGCCAATGACCTGTCTAGTGACTATCTCCGACTTCTATTGCACACTCTTCGATGATACTAGAAAATTATTGTTCATTGTGTGGACGCTAACATTGGTTACCTCGTTTATTGCCTTGAATCTATTCTATGAATATTGAGCATGCGGCATATCGAGCGCGCGCTCGCGGCAAATAGAAGCCTTGCTCTCGCTTTTCGAGTTTCCCGATGATAAGTGTGGAAGGCTTCAAATGAAGGCACGTCTAACAATTGAGGAAAGAGAATGGGAACGTAAATAAAAATTGGCAAAAAAAACTGAAAAGCATATAAAAAAAGAACGAACAAAAAGAGGAAACCTCGTGGCTGGTAAGTGTGTTTTGTTCGGTGGGTATTTGCTCGGGCAGCACTACAGCAATCAGGCACAGTTGCTCTTCCAGGTAGCACTAATAAAAATGGGCAAGAAAGGCCGAAGTGTCAGCTCACCAAGCACCTTCACCACGCAGAAAGCATCGCGGCCACGTATGAACACACCTATACATCGTTACACGTAAGCTTAATTGTACTTTTGTTCATCTCTTCTTTTTCCTCTTTGCGTTTTTTTTTCTCAATGTGTACTCCAATGAATTCAAACAGCGAGATTAAAGCACGCACAAGCTTTTTTTTTTTATTAGAGAAAGAGGTTACAACCTAAAAAACAAAACTTTGAGAGTCCTCATACAATAGACGAGTATGCTACAAACTGACAGGGAATTTCAGATAGCCAGTTCACAATCAATAAAGCAGTTCAAGTGGTTGGCCGGTGTACACAGGGTGCTGTAATAATGAGTGCTGAAAAATTTGATTTCTTGCATGACATAACACTCTTTCTCAAAGCGAAAACAAACGGCACTTTATTAGAAATTCCTGTATAAAATCATGTGTAAATAATCTCAAAAACAATGTATAACCTTTGAAAAGGCCTTGCGGACACACATTACACTTTTTTTTCGGACACGCCACATTTCATAGCGTGTGTCATCAACCTTAGAAGTCCGCGCTTGGTTTGTGGTCCCAACGGAAAGGTCTCATCACGTTGTCGCCAGTAGACTCAGTCCTTCAAGCCCCGCCGCGGTGGTCTAGTGGCTAAGGTACTCGGCTGCTGACACGCATGTCGCGGGTTCAAATCCCGGCGGCGGCGGCTGCATTTCTGATCGAAGCGGAAATGCTGTAGGCCCGTGTGCTCAGATTTGGGTGCACGTTAAAGAACCCCAGGTGGTCAAAATTTCTGGAGCACTCCACAAAGGCGTCTCTCATAATCATATGGTGGTTTTGGGACGTTAAACACCACAAATCAATCAAATCAGACTCAGTCCTTTAAGAAGCATTTTAAGGACGATAGTCTTTTTGGGGGACTTTCAACGCAAAAATTTTTGGTCTGCCTGCCTGTACATTTATTTGTTCGTCCTCCCTAATGATACCCTAAACGACACCAAACGATACCCCGAATGGCCGACCCTATCCGCAGCGCCCACCAATATTGCTCAAGATTTAGCCACTTCAGGCTTGTACGATTGTGAATTAAAAAGTAATTATTACGCCTATCTGAGGTATTATAGCAACCCATCAATATTCTTTATGTGTGTCTTTTTAATGGAAAAGGCTTGCACAAGTAATTCTAAGGACTGTAGCGTTTATCACGCTGCGCTGACGATGCAACGCTTGCACGAAAAAGCAAGTGTTTCCAACGCCTTGATAAGACTGGTGGTGGCACCTACCAGTCGCCCAGCGTTCTACACCTTATCGCCTCCGAGACGGGCGCGCACGCCGCGAGCTTCGTTTTCCGAGATAACTGCCAGATAATAGCACACATGTCTCACGTGTGACGTGACTTGATGCGCTCGTTCGCCTCCACTGTACGCTCTAGGCACTAACACAGCACCTGCAGAGTGCCATTCACTGATTTTTTTTTTGCGCCGAACATTAAATAAAGTTTTGTTCACTCTCTCCAGACGCAAGACTATCGTCTTTCGACGACTTTTGCAGTGTAACATGCAGATACAGGGCCAATGTTTTATTTATTCGTATTGCACGTGCATATTTCCAACTCATTCATGTCAACGTACACACCAGTGAACGTCACAGTGACAAATCGCAAGAAGGAAGCAACAGTGTTCCCCACGTGGGAGCCCGTGGCGGTGCCAGTCATAAAATCAACAACGCTGTAGCCGCGAAACTGACCTGCGTAGGGCTTACTGTATGAGACCACCGTCTTTCCACACCACAAATACTCTCGACAGTAACGGAAAGTGTTCTGCTCTCTACTTCATAAACTTACACACGAAATAATGCAAAGTTCAACCCTTCAAGCAAAAATGAAAAAGCAGGGGGTCAGCAACAGACAAGGTAAAGACGCTACCAACTTGACAGTATTTCAAATGTAGGCGTATGTGTAATCAAGGGTACACGTCCTCTGCGTATACCGTAGATGTCCCCTAATAAAAAGAAAAAAGCAGCGTAAGTTCTCCATCTATAAAACTCTGTTTCGCAAACTCTTCTTCTACCGCGAAATTTGCAATAAAATGAGAAATATTTTTCTTGGTGCATGTGCCGCATTGACGTTTGGTATACAACACTTCACAATTAATGCACCCTCCAGCACGTAAATTTATCGCCCGAAGTGTGATCTTAGTGAAAGGAAACTTAGAATCTCCCAAAGTCTTAATGCAATCTATATTTATGAGTAACCTCGGTTGGGGTGAACACGTAGACTCAAAGGTAATCTGAATATGCATATCCCTGTACTTCACAAGATTCGCGACTGTTAAGACATTTTTCTCTGCGCTAAAAATACTTCCAGCTTTCTTTAGGATCACTGTAAATGAGGTATGTTGAGGAATATTTCTCCACAAGCCATCATGAGTATCCCGGCAGGCGGTAATATTATAAACCCAGAGTTCTTCCCTTTGCCTATAAACCTGCTGCCGCAGGAATTCCATAGTTTTCATAGTTTCGTGAACAAACATTTCCAGCTGCAACGGTATTGAGCTTTCTTGCATGTTCAACGGTATTTCTTCTTCTTTTCCCAAAGCAGCAGCAGCAAGGAGCTCTTCTGTTTCGGTGGATCCATTATTGTCTGAATCTAGGGCCCTTTGCCGACACTGCTGTTGGTCCATGAGCTTCGTACAGAGATAAGCCTCAACCTTACTCATTTGTTCCTTCATCTCGCATTTCCATGCCTCTAACGCATGTTTAAATTTCCGTAATTGGACTGTTAGGATTTCTTTGAATGTAGTTTCCACATCACTTGGCATTCTCGCCGTTAGCTGTGACATTGCCTGAACATCTTGCTTCAATTCGTTTTGCGAGTCTCTAGTTTCGCGTACCACTTCCTGAATTTCGGAGGTGTCATGCTGCCTTGTCTGTTCAACGAGTTCATTCATTTGGCTCTGAAGTGACGACAGCTGATCAGCTCAAGGGGTCTCTCACAAGCAGCTTCACTTCTTCTAGGCCAGCTTTCAGGTGGCGAGTCATCATTGAGGTGATGTTCGACTCTATGCCTTTCATTCCGCAGCTCACAGCTTCGAAATCTACGGAGTCCGCTTTTCTGGAGAGATCGTTCATTTGTCTCTGAAGAGCAGACAGCTTTTCTAACACTGCATCCTCGTAACAACTGGCAAATGCCCTATCTTGAGTGCTCGGCTGACCATCTCTTGCGCCAGATGCATTCTGTGAGCACCCGGCAACGTAGTGGGCTGCAATGTCAGTGCGCAGTATTCTTCGTTCGCAGCGTCGACACTGGAGGGCGTGGAAGATGCAGTCTCTGTCGAAGTGCTGCAGAACGGCTTCGATGGTTCCCACAAACTGGCAGCCGTTGACCTCATTCCAGCAATGAGCCTGTAAGGTAAGCGTACATTGAAAGCATAAACAAAGCAGCTTTACGAGAAACCACGTACGTGTTGTGTAAGCACAACGAGAGAGCCAGTCCAATGCGTAAGCATTCGAATAGGGCATAGAGGTGAGCCCCAGGCCTTATGTTTTTGTCTTATCAAAGCTAGAAAGACTGCACGTTTTATTACGAACGAGTGGTTTGCATCAAACGGAAGACAAAAAACATGAAAACTCTTTGTAAAGCTCCTTTGGCGGTGTTAACATTTCTTGCGTTGGCCTGTTTCGCTAAGAAGTCGAGTTATGACTAGTATAAATTTTACGAATAAAATTTGCGCTTAGATATTGACGCAATAACATCGCAATCATAAAGGCGATCCAAACCATCGGCTGCATTATTACTACCTTTGTTAATGTCATCTGCGTCAAGTTAAAAGTACATGCCGAACGTTGGCATCATTTGAATTCCATTAATACTCACTGCGCGAGGCTGGAACCGAACCGTCTCCCTCGAGATCTGCTTCCCAATCAGATGCTTACACTTACAGATACTTACAGATGATACTTACACGTATATTCAGCGTATTGCCTAACATTGAATTTTCATGTCTTGTAATGTTTATTATTTTGATGTTACTATATTTGCTCTTGGTTATGGTTTTTTTTTTGTACCCCGCTCCCCTCTGTAGAGCTGTTTGCGATTGAGGGTAAAATAAATAAATAACTATATAAATAAATAAATAAATACTCAGTAAACGAAGCTGCAACCAAACCGTCTCTCTGGAGATCTGCTTCCCAATTAGACACCGTCTAGAAAAAGCAGGGTGAGTAGTCTTTACGCGACTGTTCAGTAGCTTAATAAAAATTAATCCTAGAAAGCATTCGTTCACCTGAAGTTGCTACCTATACTAAGTCTCTGCTCTGATCACACTGGCACATGTAAATTGTGAACTCTTAAAAAATTCTACGCCTAGTTTCCAGGACATATGTAGTATTGTATGCCGAACTACATTACAGGTACACAAGTTTTTTTTTTTTTTTTCAGTCGAGTCTTATGGACTTACAAGTTGCGAAGAGGTGCAATACGTTGTAACGAGAAGCAAGAAGGTATACCAGCATATCGACGGAGCTGGAATGCTACAGGCCTGTGTAAGTAGATTTAGGGGCACGTTAAAGAATGTCAGGTGGTAAATTTCCGGCGCCCTTCACTACGATATTCCTCATACTCATATGGAGGTTCTCTTGCTTCATACCCAAACCATTATACGTTATCAAAATTGCTGTTCGACCGCCATGATTTTTCGATGTAACGCAAGCTTCATAAGCTCCGGCCGAATGCACCATTAGTTACCTGAAAACCAGGTAATGAGCACCGAACCTCTACTGCATGCTCGATAACAATACAAAATAAAACGCCCTTGGTATAACCTAAATGCATCAAGTTATACCAGATTAGCTGAATATCCAGAAGAATATTCATATATGAAGGTGAAACATTATAAAAAAAACGACCGTGTTGTTATCGGCACTGCACGATTCAAGCTAGAACGTTTTGTTCAGCACCTCAAATTCACCGGCCCGCAATGATACATATGTGCGTTTGGCGCACGTGTGGCCTTTCTGTATGACGAAATATGGCTTTGATAGCTCGCGAGATAACCTATGCTTACTTCTACTTGTTTTTTTTTTAATTTCTCAAGCCGCGCTTCACAGTTTCTGCAAGCACCGCGAATTCATTCGGGGAGTTTCTTGCAACGCATACTAAAGCCCCGTTTCATTAACGCGAAGTACCCGACGTTGCGTTAGACCATACGCTACCATTCAGTACATTAAGTGTGGTTGGCATGCCTGGCTTACCCACCTTGTTCAAATACCTTCTCAATCTACACAAAGACGTCTATACGCATCCTATAATGCTGCGCTTAAAGCGCAAGTCTGACATTGGTGGCTGCTCGTTGACAGCTTCTCGTGGTATCGGTTCTCACAGTACATCGGTTCAGCCAGATTTTTTTTTATCCTATACTCAAACATGGGACAACACAAACTTTATGACGAATAGCAGTGTTGTGCGTTTATTACGGAGATTGTCTGTGGTAGAAGCGTAGATACTTCCCCAGTTTTAAGAAGTATATAGTATGCTTCGTGTACGTAGTCAAGTTCTTAGCCAGCGCAGTTTTGTCCTGCTGTGCCAATTTAACATCGGGCCGTAAAAGCGATTTACTAAATGAAGGCCAACGAAATAGCCACGTTTATTCTGCCACGTTAACACGACACTTTCGTTGAGGCTAACGTGTGGGTTTAACATGCATTTCTGACATATCTGATTTTAATCAGAAATATTATCAAAGTCACATTTATTCACACACAAATTGTACTGGCTAGTGTGGTGTAACCTTAACTACTGCAAAATGTAAAGTGTGTTTCTTGATTGATTGATTTATTGACGTATATGTGGGGTTGAACGTCCCACACCACCATATGATTATAAGAGACGCCGTAGTGGAGGGCTCCGGAAATTTCGATTACCTGGGGTTCATTAGTGTGCGCCCAAATCTAAGCACACGGGCCTACAACATTTCCGCCTCCATCGGAAATGCAGCCGCCGCAGTAAAGTGAGTTTCTAAATGATCGCGAACGTTCCTTAAATATTGATGAACATCGGCATCTGTCGCGTAATTCACAATTGAAGTTTGCAAATTATACTCCAGCAGTTCATTTTAAACCAAACGCTCGCTAACTGGCGAAACCTGCGTACAAATCCTGCGGTCCTCCATTAGGTGATCGCATTATAACAGTCGTGAAAGTCTGTTGCAATATGTATGCGGCTGCTTTTCATTCTAAGCAGCCGTACCATATTACAACAGACATCGATCCGCGGCACATGGATGTAGAATGACTGAGCAAGGAGGGGTCATTAGTAAGAGTCGAATGCAAAGTCTGATTTTTTTTCGAGAAAGTTTCATTTTGAATCTGAGGATAAAACCAAAAGTTTACCTTACTATCCACCAGGTCTTTGACCAAACATTTGACAACCTCAGTTTATTGGTCGACAGCAAGAAATAAGTGGCGGATGGCAGCACTGTGCTGCTCTACAGTCGACTACAAAAGTTGCGCGTGTGAAACTAGAGTAACTGTATATGCTCCTTAAAGGAGTAGAGTAGTGCATAGGTCCACCATTTTCCCTGCTTAGCAACCATAGTTACGCGGCTAAGCCGATCGACGAAGCCTGTCGTCTATTGCCAGTCCATATGCCTGGCGTGTCAACGACAGGCGAAGAAAGAACAAACGCCTGCTTTCGGGACTGTTGCACGAGAGTTCAAAAGCTTGTTCGGCAACGCAAAGGCACAGCGTAAATCCGAGTAACATTCGCTGCCCCTGCCGCATGGTCAAGTGGCGCCAGCTATGGAAGACAAGCAACATCTCAAATACACAAGGTATAGTTCCTCCGAGATTTAAAGAGCGTCCCACTAAGCGTACAGCATTGACCATTTCAGCATGTTTTCGAAAATCGCGCTGAATTCACGCAAACACTTTGCTGTCGAAGCTTAGGGACGTAAATCTAAAGCGCACAGAAGCACCAGTTCACAGCTAACGAGCTACAAAGAGCACGACAGTCACTTGATAAATTCCAGGCAGAGGGCGACCACTTCCGGCGGTGCGGCCTGTGCACCAGCTTCTCCACAGTGCATATTTGCTAGCGGCATTGGAAAACAAATGTGCTACTGTGCTACCTAAAGGTAGCATACGCAGTTACTCTGTGCGAAACTCTGGTGGAGACGCTGGGTACATATACCCTGGCTGTGTCAGCCATCACTCCTAACACCTTAGACACAACTACATCACCCAGAACAAGAAGCAGCCACTGTCTGCATGGATTACCCTCTTAATTCGGCTTCTTGGCGTCGACACCCAGAAAAATGACAACTTCGATCACAAGCCAGGTAGTTAAAACCAGCGAGGACCACTGTTCTCCTCTAGCGCATGTTTTTCGTGTGCCACAGACACCTGAACCGTTTCATGGCGACATCTTCGAAGATGTTGATTGGCTCGACCACTTTGATCAGGTTGCTAGTATCAATGAATGGGACAATTTTCGCAAGCTGCAGAAAGTTTATTCCTACTTTGAAGATTCTGTGAAGACGTGGTATAGGAACCACGAGGGATCCTTCGTGATATGGCAGGAATTTAACCGACAGTTGCGCGACGCCTACCGCAACTATGGAAGAAAGGAGAGGGCTAAACAAATCATATCCTGCAGGAATTAGCGGCCGAACACTAGTTGCTATGTTTGTCGAGGACATGCTTCGACTTTTCAGTCACGCGGACCCTGCCATGTCAGGGGAAAAGAAAGTGCGGCCTTTGGTGCGTAGAGTAAAGGGACAGCTTTTTGCTGGACCCATCCTCCATCCACCGGTGGCAGTCCCAGAGCTCATCAGTAAGGGGACCATGATGGAGCTCTGCAGCAGCGGTCGTCACAATACGAACGCCACATCCCGGGCACCGCATGCTCTAACAGCTGTGACAGTTAAAAACAGGCCCTCACTGACTTCATTTGAGGTAACGTGTGCGACGAACTGCGACAGCTTCAGGCAGTGGGATCCAGTCCGACTGTGACAGCCCTCGTGGATGTAATCTGACAAGAAACCAGGCAGGCAGTCGCACCACTGGCGCCAATCGCACCACCAAAACCAGAGGCCCCAGTCCTGGCATGTGCCATGCCATGGCATTGCGATCCCCCGCGCCACCAGCTACAGATCCTGCAATGCGGACGGTGAGCCTGGCTATGCACCCATTCTAGGACACTGCTTCCAGTCCGCCTCTCGGCTCAAGTTTTCCGAGCGCACCGTCCTATCTGCCTCAAGACAGAGTGCTAGCAAGGCAAGCATGTGGCGCACCTCAGATAACCATCCACTCTGCTATCACTGCGGCGAAGCCGGTCACGTCTACCGTAACTGCCAGTACCGCCAACTAGTTCTCCACGGCTTCCACCTTGATGCTCGATGCCCACGCTATACGGTGAGCGCCCCCGTGAAATCAAAGCGTATCTCACGGGCCAGCGAACTTCATCGATTACCCTGCGCCTCCACCAGTAATGTCGCAAGCAAAACAAGACCAACAGCCAAGAGTTGACCAGAACCAGAGCAACGAAACCGTTTTCTTCTTCCAATTCAAAACGTTTATAAGCCACAGTGGCTCGCTATTCAATGGTGGCTTGAGTTTGTATACAGTTACCCTATGCGAAACAGCCTTTCCGCGCCACATAGCGGTGCGCCATCTACCATCGACCACTGTACAGAGCCGGAAACAGGTCTCCTTGTTAATCACTGGCCTTTCAGATTTTCCAGAGGCCCGTAGCGCCTATTTGGAAGTTTTCACACGAAGTTCTTATCTTCCGTATGACCGCTACATTATTGTTTTCAAAGCAGGATTGAAGCTATCACGGAGTGCCTCAAATCGAGTTTTGTTGGCTAGGTATCACATTGTGATAATGATTGTGACTGATAACAGTTCTGCTTATAGACTACTATCGAGGCAGAAGCAAGTAGTTGCAGATGCCGATACGTGCGTAGCGTTAAAAAGTGAAAGGTTAAAACTATTAGTACGCAGTCAGAACAGATACAGGCCAAAGATTAAGGGAGGGGTGCTTCTTGGGCGCTTCTTGCTGTCGACAACCGCTGACGAAAGGAAAGTGATTGATATGTGTTGTTTAACGTTCCAAAACCACCATACGACTACGAAAGACGCTGTAGTGGAGGGCTTCGTAAATTGCGACCTCCTGGGGTTATTTAACGTGCGCACAAATCTGAGCCCACTGGCCAACAGCATGTTCGCCTTCATCGAAAATGCAGCCGCTGCCACCGGGATTATCCCGTGATCAGCAGGATTACCTTAACCACTATAGACCATCCTGACGGGACGACGTAACGCAAGTGTCGCGAAGAGGTTATTGGCTATGCTCAAGCGTGGTCCGTAAGCTTTTGTGGTCGAATATACGTCAGCTTGTGCTTATTTGGACGCAGTGCCTAATCAACAAGCCCCAATTACATTTACGCACTGGCTGCAAGAGTTATCTGTGGAGGCTATTTCTTTGCGCATGTCTTCTTTACTGTCATGACACCTGACAGAACCTAAACTAGCTTCCGTCACCTGTTAGTAACTGTTCCCTAGCCTGCAGACTGCTTTCGCTTGACGCCTGGCTGGAGGACAACCGCTTTTCATGACGTTATACCGTACCGTGGTGGCATGGTACAGGTACGTAGTACAATATGGCCGCAAAGGAGACCCTTTCACTCATCCTTTCAAGGACTGTCGTCAAATACAAAGTTACGGAAAGGTCAGCGCCATTTTTAAACCTAAGCAACTCACTTTTCAGCGGTTCATACCAAATGCTGCTGATACATAACACTGACCTTCAGGTTGTGTTTCGCCTTGGCAGGAAGCTTTAGCTTCTGGCACTCATCTTCGCAGAAAGGCTGGGCGTCCAGGGGACAGATGCTGCCATGACCTTGGACGGCACACCCAGTCACACAGTGCTCGCACAGAACGTGCGAACAGGGCAGCAGTACCGTCGTGCTTGGAATGACGTAGCAGACGCAGCAGGCGTATTGATTCACCGTCCGCACGTCCTCGAACCGCGTCGAGCGCCAGTTCGCGCCGCTCACCGAGTCGCACAGTTGGTGAATAGCTCGAGGCCCTCCGCAATCCGACATGGCCGCGACGACTGCAGAAGTTGCACTGCTTCGGCTGCATTCGGGCTGCAATCGGGCCACGGACGCAGCAAGTGTTCGCTTAGAGCCACGGGACTACTGATTGTGACGTCACAAAGGGGAGTTGCCACGGCTGCCACTGCGCGGGTGTCGGCGTGATAAGCGCTATCTGCAAACAGCGTCCTTCAAAGAAGTAGGTGCTTCCCGCAGAGCCGTGTTTTCTGTGGTCCGTCGACTGTTCTCCGAACACAACTTCCTCGCTCGTTTTTGCCCCCACACTGGCAGTGGGAGGCGGCCGCTTTAGATTGTTTTCAAATGAGTAACATCGCACACCACACGGACAGTGCAAAATGTGCAACGACGAAAGACGATACACAAGTTGAATGAGTGCATGGGACAGGCGCTCAACTAGCTGCTCTCGTCTTAATCAAAAAGAAGATAATAACTATAAGCAGTCTCGCTGCGCGCGCGCCCTCTACGCTGCAGAACTTATCACGTTTGTTTTTCAAGTATACGCTGATTTCAGATGCTCAAAATAATCGCATACTGTTTTGGCTTGAACGTTGTGTCACCCCCCCCCCCCCTCGCGTTAAGATTGCGAGATAACGCGACGCTGTGGGTAGAACGGGGAGAGGTCTGTCAAAAAATAATGTGTCATTCGTTAATAATTTCGCTCGGTTTGTAACGTGAGTGTGTTCTGAGGTATACAAAATCAGTTAACACATAAAAATATTTTTCATAAGACAGACTGGCACCTGCTTTGAAGGGACACTGAAACACTTAAAAAAACGAGGTTAGGTGTCTTGATACGTCATTTCATGCAGTGAATAAAAACAAAGTCAACTGGGGAATTTGCATAAACCAACGCCAATAACAATATTCTGCCGGCAACAGGCGCCGTGGCCGCCATCGCGAGTTTCGCCACCGCCTGTGATTTGTCGAAGCTCCATGACATCACACGCTAGGCGGTGGAGAGAGCCGACTGCGCTCGCCTGTCATTTGTCGAAGCTTCATGACATCACACGCTAGACGGTGGGGAGAGCTGACTGCACTCGCCTGTGATTTGTCGAAGCTCCATGACATCACACGCTAGGCGGTGGTGAGAGCTGACTGCGTTCGCCTGTGATTTGTCGAAGCTCCATGACATCACACCCTAGGCGGTTGAGAGAGCTGACCGCGCTCGCTGGCAGGTGAGGCCAGGTTTATCTGTTGAAATGAGCCAGTTGCTGTTAGTACGACGAACTGCAGAAGTCGTGAAGAGCTCACTTTACATCTTTACATGTTCTAGGCAGTCGCCATTGCAAGAGTGGCGACTGAAGACACTGTCAGAGCTGATGACACGGAACAAGAAATCGAGCCGCAACCAGCCACCTTTATCCGCGTCGGAAACATAGGCTGGGCTGTACAAAATTTATCTCAGTGCTTCGTTTTACTGCAGTAAACTGATACAAACTATACGCTCAAGCACTGATAATAAATCCCATAAGGAACAGCAGCATCGGCACTTGCTTTTTAGCCGCGCATTGGAGCGGTCCACGCTAAGCGCGAACCTCACGTCTAAACATCGGCTGTTCGTGGATTTCACTTCTCAGAGTGCAGCATTGTTGGTGCAGTCAGTATCGCTCTTCGCAGCGGGCAAGAAGCATGCGATGAGTCAGGGCGCTACCTCGAAAAAAAAAATAAAGCCACGTGAGTGCCGCACTTTTCCGCAGAGTAACCTTAAGCCCGGAACAGCGCGAAAAGCTTGCGCATGAGTAGCTTGCCTCGCAACAATACCATCGCTTTTTCTGAATTCTGGCCAGTACGACAGTCATTGCGTGTTCGAATGCAAGTGGTGCATTAGTTGTGTTAGAAGCGTGTGACTGTCATGTAGAGTACCGATTTAGATGCTGCGCACTAGGTACCTGTGTACAGGTTTTTTTCGCCACAGGTGCTTATGATACGTACTGCGTCCAAATCGGCAAATAGGGTGATACATACAAAACAAGACGTGCCTGAACATTCATGCTGGGATATGAGCTTGCGGTTCCACATTTTTTTTTTCTGTGCAGTGAGATAAATATACCATCAGCTTCATTTTAATATGCTTATATGTAGCATGTCTGCACTAATCATTCTCAGCACAAGTGCCATGGCGAGCCCCATTCAGTGCAGCGTAGATTGTAAGCAGTAGAACAACTTTGTACAGGCCAAGCTTCTGAACAAGAAAGCTAGGTAACACCCTAGGTGCCAGCGTTACGTTCGGTTTCATTATGCGAATTCGTAAGTATTCACTGTTGTCAAATCTGTCACACGTACAATGAACGAAATCCAGGAAGTATTTACTTAGAGCAAAAGGTGCTACGCAGTCAGCCTGGACTACGATTTTGCTTCGTGTGGTGGCGTTCGGAGGAGATCGAATGTTACGGTAACTATGAAATGTCTGGATCATCGTATAGGTGATTGTTGAATCAATGTATCGATTATTCTGGATTTTAATCGAAAAATTTTATCCGAGCTTGAATCGAAATAAAGCGCCCGTGTTATATGGTCGCTTTCGTTGGCGATCAAGACTGGCTCTGATCGCGAGCTGTCACTGCAACAGCGATATTGCAGCCTGCTGATTCCCAGTCCGAGGGAAACTACGCTGAATGGTGTCTGCGTAACGCGTCAAGATCGGCACGTTTCATAGACATTTGAAGTGAGCGTCGCGGAAGCGAAGCAGCACAGCGAACTGTTCAAGGCTGCGGTGATCGCGTGCTCCCCAACTAACCGAACGCTGCTATGGCACAAATGCCGTCTGACAGCCTTGCCTCAGGTTTTCTTTTTGCGAACGCAACTCATGCTGGCTGCGAGGGCCCTCTCAGGGGCGGGAACACAGGAGCCGCGTCGCTGTTCAGTCGCATACACTTCATCGTCGATCCCAGCGACTTCCTCGTAGGTTTGAAGTCGTTTCCTTCAATTGCAGCAGCCCATTTTGCGGCCATCTTCTGATCCCGAGCGAACTTCTAAAAAGCGACCTCATCGCGACCGAAGGTGCTGCAGTAGCCACAGGCCGCGCAGTATTTCGGCATCTTTAGTCCATTTCAACGCTGCACTATTTTAACTATATAGTGAATGTGGGATGGCGAAAATCTCTGATTCGAACAGAACGGTGCAATAAAAAAAAATCCCTACATGGGAGAACTCATGGTTCTTTAGGCAGCAGATCACAGCTGCAACGAGGCACAATGCTGAAGCTAACAAGCAGCGGCTCGGCTAGATCTGGTCGCTAACGTCACCGGCCCACTTGTCTCCCTGTACTACGCTCATGCCTGCGCTCCGCGGGCGCCAGGGTAGAAGGGGGGGGGGGGATGGGGGAGACTGCTTCGGTCAAGAATTTCCCCCTTCTACCACCATTGCCTAATTGAAAATCGCGAAAGAAAAAAACCGTCGAAGGCATGTTGTAAAAAGGTCGTAGATACCGAATTTGCAATAAATTCCCGGATTCAAAGCTGCTTCAGTGCCCCTTTAACGGGAGAATCCGCCAAGTTAACACAACACATGGATGGGCGCACCCAGATTACGTTTGTCTTCTCATTGACGCTTCTTTGTTTTAAACATTTGTATGTTAGCACGCATGTCATGCTGAGACACATGAATTAAAGATGACGTGAAATCACCGAAGCTTTGCTCTTCAAGAAAAACCACGATAATAGCAAGTCTGCTACATCCATCTATCTTCATGATTGTGAAATCAGCCTACTTGAAAAAAAATGGATAATTTCTGCAGTGTAGAGGGTGGGCACGCAGCAACACGGCTTGTACTGATTCTCTTCTTTTTTATAAAGACGGCACTTGCTCATAGTTTATCCTTTGCCTTACTTAATCTTGAGTGTCGTCTTGTCGCGCTGTAATTGGAACCACGAAGTTCAACCAACTCACTCTCTACTGTATGTCGATACATAAAAGCACCAGCGTCAACTAGCGACTTGGGTCCGAAGTCACAAATATTGTATTTGAAAAGTGTGTTTTCCCATTCGTTACCTGGCTGCGCCAGGATTTGTCTCCCATCGTGATTACCTGAAATATGGCCTTTTAAAAAAATGCGTTGAAAATTTTTCTAAATCCAGTACATTCCACGAAGGCAGCATAAAAAAATTACATCATCTCCCACAAAAAAACTGTGTAGATACAAAGCAGCGGGCGCTAACGCTTACACTGGCCGGGGAGTGGACGCTCAACCTGGCGTTCCGCAAGACAGAAACCGGGCGAGCCGCAAAGCACGCAGCGGTGCACCAGTGTTTTCAACTAGAACATGCCAATCACTGCTAATGGTCAATAAGAGGTAGAACATTCCGAATGGACACAAAGGCTTGCAGTGTGATTTTAGTTAATTCTAAACTCTGCGAGTTTTATTGTTCAACAACGCACGAAATCTCCCACCGGCACTACCTTGGAGGACAAGATCCAGTGTCGTCTATATTCTTTTCAGTCACGGTGTGTACAAATGAAGACGGCAACTTCAGTGGCACGTCATCAACCGTGTGTTTCATTTAACGGCTATAGAAACTTAGTCTGCACATTCGTGCAGGCCTCCTGAGAGGACAACTGGTGATTATTTAACTTCGTTATGCTGCATATTGGTGCAGAAGATCACTTTGCTCGATGCACTACCATGTTCGGTGATTGTCCGATGTGACTCATTTCACGATGAACGTGATAAGTGATTTTTTTTTTCCTTGCTCGAAACAAATACAATAAAAAAAACAAACTGCACATGCATTTCGGGCCAAGTAGTGGATTATTTTTATGCAAGTAATGAAACTGACTTGTGGCATAATTTCATATAAGCAGTTACACACTCTAACTTTAATTGCCAAAACACAAACGTAACAACGCTTTTTTTTCTTTTTTTTAATTTGGAAAGTATTACTGAGTGCCTTAGAATTACGCCACGTGAAATTGACGTGCTTTTCTGAGAGCGCATCATAATTTGTTGCGTGCGTCAGCGTTGCGATTCAAGAGAGAGAAGAGCATAGGAGAGGAGAGGGAGGAGAGGCACATACGCAGTAAGAGAGGTCACGCCTCACAGCGTATTCAGCTGGACCGTAAGATGCTGCGCATCTAAAGCTCTGCTTTCCAAACATGGGTCTCCACCGTGGTGGCGTAGCCGTCGTGGTGCTCGTCTGCTAACACGACGTTCGAGAGTTTGTTCCCAGTTACGGAAGTCGCGTTTTGACAGAGATGATAAACTAAAAGCTTGTGTGTTGTGGGTTGTTAGTGCACGTTAAGGATAATCAGATGGTAACCATTTCCAGAACCCTCCACTATACGGCTTCTTTGTTAACCATACCGCAGCCATTGCGGCGTAAACTGGAGTTGTTGCCGAGCATGGACGAGACCATACAGTCAAATTAAAAAAAAATGAATCAGGGTAGCCATATGTTAGGAACGTGAAAACTGCTAACTAACGATGCGTTGCGCGGATGTAGAAAATTGAAAGGCCAGTGAATAACAAGAACGCCCGTTTCCGGAATAGCATTGTGGTCGACAGCACATGGCGTTCCGCTAGGTGGTGCGGATTGGCAGTTTGGCACGCGCTTTCATAGACCGCCAACTTTTGGCTGTACAATGACTGAACAAGCAAAAAAAGAAGTTGGTTTTCGCCTTCTGTTCATCTTAAGACAATGCATAAAGGACAATATGCGGTCGTAATCTTATCATAAATGACTATCTTAACTATTGAGACGTGAAGGGGCAGATGGAAGCTTGCAAT